TGGGAACATAAGTGATGAATTTGCGTTTAGAATTATCAAGATACCCTTCCACAACTGACATCGGAAAATTCCCTTTAGATCATCTATTCTCTTTCTTCTGTATCATTGATTAACAGGAAATAAATAGACCTTTTATGATTTACTCCGATAACATATCAACCGTCTATTACTTAGAGTATCCTTCGCAATATTAGCAAATATTACAAAAAATATTATATCTTTGTACAATAATTAAAAAATACTAATACATGTTTAAAATTAATCATAAACTTCAGCATAATTTCTGAATATATATCCAAAATGACAAAAAATGAAAAAATATAATAATATATCGAAAAAGTACTTTGGTTATTGTAAATTTAAGTCTATTTGACTAAAATATTGAATTAAAACCCATCTTTGTCATATAGTAAGGTTGATTTCACTATCTCGTTTTAATGTTACATTGAGTCCAGAGGGCTTTTGAGCTCTATAGGCTACCTCAATGGAGACCCTCATACCCGTTATTAATAAATTGCAAGATGTATTTAACACAGTTGGTAGTGAGGTTCTTCAGCTTCCTCAAATTGTAGTTATTGGAAGTCAGGTATACAATACATTAAAATTAGTTGTTATTGTTTATTTAGAGCTCTGGCAAAAGTTCCGTTTTGGAAAATATCGTCGGTCGTGATTTTCTTCCAAGAGGTTCAGGAATCGTTACTCGTCGCCCCCTTGTCCTTCAACTTGTACATGTAGAAGAAAACGATAATGATATTAAGAAGGAAATGGGCGATGGAATTTCCACAGAATGGGCTAGATTCCTACATCAAAAAAATCGAATATACACAGATTTCAATGAAGTGCGCGAGGAGATTATTGCAGAAACTGCCCGTCTTGCTGGAACTGGAAAGGTGATAGATTTTCCTCTACAATTTTATTTTTATGTCTTGTGTTTATGTTACGTTGTCTTGTTTTCTTTCAGGGTGTTCACTCAGAGGCTATTCACTTGAAAATCTATAGTCCAAAAGTTCTCAACTTAACTCTTGTCGATCTTCCCGGTATCACTAAAGTTCCTGTTGCTGATCAACCGCAGGATATTGAACTTCAGATAAATTCTCTCTGTACGCATTATATCAGCAATCCTAACTGTATTATATTGGCTGTCACACCAGCTAATGCTGATATGGCGACAAGTGAATCTCTAAAACTTGCCAAAGAAGTTGATCCAGATGGTATGCTTTAAAACGTAATTGCCCACTTTATATCCCTAGGGAGACGAACTCTTTGTGTCCTCACGAAGCTTGATCTCATGGACCATGGCACTGATGCTCACGATCTATTAATGAATCGTGTTATTCCCGTCAAATTAGGAATTATTGGAGTGGTGAATCGTTCTCAGGCTGATATAAACGCTAATAAGTCGATCACAGATGCACTAGCTTATGAGGCGTCTTTTCTCCAGAGACGCTACCCCTCAATTGCCAGCAGAAATGGAACAGTCTACCTCGCCAAAACTCTCAATCGTGTAAGGAACTTCTCAAATGTCTATCCGAGTTGAGAAGTAGAATAAACGTTTATCCCTATTTTATCTTTTGCTTGTTTAGCTGTTAATGCATCATATCAGAGACTGTCTTCCGGAATTGAAGACTCGAGTTAATGTGATGACAGCTCAGTTCCAGACACTTCTTAACTCGTTCGGAACTGAGGTTGAAGATAAGGTGAGCTTTTTTCTGCTGTTTACACTCCTACTATTATTTCCTGACCAAGTGTTAACATTTAATCTATAAATTTTGATATCGTTATTTAAAAAATTATACTTTTCAGAGACTGTATTTTCTAGGATTTTTTAATTTTTTGTTTTATCTATATTTTCTTATATTTGGTCAGGTGGGGGAATGTTTTTCATTCATGCTTTGATACTAAAGATGTTTGCAATTTATTTAACATTCATAATACGTAACCGATTGTCTATGTATAAGATACCCATAAAAGTGCATCAATATACTTTTCTCATAATACAACAAATTTTTTTGCGTACTTCATATTTTGAAACTTCTTTTTATAGTGGCTCAGTCTCTAGCCTTTTATTTCGGTAAGTCATATTTGCAGACAAGTCTATGTTTTGTGTGTAGTTGTAATTCGCTCTTCCTTAGGCTTCCTGTTGTTTTCGATTTTCTAGTCTAGTACAGCTTTATTAAGGTTAACCCTGATCTTTGATGATACAAACCAAGTCTTGGCCCTTGGGTTTTTTTCTGAAATTATTTCTCCAGCTATTTAAATATTTTACTTTTCAGAAACATTCTGAGAATTATATTCCATAGGGGTTTGAAACTGTCGCCCGCGAACTAGATCGTTCATTGATCCCGATTTTGTCAATATCACATTAATTCCGCTTCGAATAACTCCTTACTTCTCTGTAAAATAGTGCATTTCAATCGCGAATTTCTTTATACTCAGTCTACAACTAAAGGAAAGTATTTATCATTTTATCATTTCCGAACATATTGAAAGCAACCTTTCCGGTAACTGTTTAAGGCTTTTGATGGATGGCTCGCATTCTATCATTCCTCTAAAGACCGTTTCAAAAATCTCTGTACAATTTGTACGTTGCATAAATGTCTATTCTTAAATCTATTAAAAATGCTTTCCCGATGCTTTTAGGGGCAACTTTTGCTCCAGATAATCACTCGTTTTAACACTGCGTACTGCAACACCATTGACGGTATCTCCAAAGACATTGAGACCGCTGAACTATGCGGTGGTGCACGTATCTGCTACATATTTCATGAGATTTTTTGCTCCACACTGAATCGTATTGACCCTCTTGGTGGACTCAATACTCTGGATATCCTCACAGCTATTCGAAATTCAACCGGTCCACGGCCTTCTCTTTTCGTTCCCGAAGTTGCTTTTGAATTGCTTGTCAAAAGACAGATTCGTAGGTTGGAGGAACCCAGTTTACGATGTGTAGAACTGGTGCATGAGGAGATGCAAAGAATGATTCAGCACTGTGGAACTCAAGTAAGTTATGCTCCAGGCATTTTTTTATTTTTTACTTCTAGATTGTTTTTACCGCAGCATAACCAGAACCGGGCAAGCGGAAATAGTGAGTCAAACTAGCCCTTGGTAATTTTTGAGGTCGTTTATGAGGTCAAATATGAGAAATATTATGTATAATTCATGAATATTTCTTCTGTCTGGGATTTGAGAACTTTGTAGGGCCTGGGTAGTGTATTTCATTCTGAAATCAAACTTGCGATCATGTTCGTCGATTGTTTTATCTCCACTACTGGTGTGTCGCCTGCAAGATCTTGCAACAAAATTTCCCTAAACCAGCCAGCCATAATTTGATTTTATTTGGCATGGACTATTTTGGTATTGTAGTCCATTTTGTAGTTCGTCTATGAACTCTCCGGATCTTGAATAGTATATTCTCGTCACCTGCTTATAGTAGGTCGCTACATAGAACAAGTAAAGAAATTGATTTTGGGTAGAAAATCTTAGTAACTGAATAAAGATTTCCCATACAAATTTGAATAACACATCTTTTTTGGCAATGTGAACTTAAAATTTGTTAATTACAATTGCAATTACTTAATTTAGCCCTTAGCAGTATGATTCATGATATGAAATTCACTTCGTTGAAACTTAATTTAGATGTAAACAAATGGCTTATTTCACCGTGTCACTTATCGTATCCAGAACAACGACTAACCTGAATAGAAAGTAATAAACTTTCTTTATACAGCTTACCAGCGGCACAGGAGGGGTTATTAGATCAACGCCCTTCGGTTTAATTTCGGTGAATTCTATTCAATGATATGCGTGGTGATGTAAGCTTTTATTAGATCATCTGCAGAATTCCTTCCCCTTGTTCAATCAGCTGTTGCCAATATTTCCCAGAATGGTATTGGGAGGCTCTAAAACACGGTGGAGATTTTATATCTCTACACCATAAAGTTCTGTATAGTTACTAACCCTTACACCATTTTAAGGTGAATAGTACCTTAAAAGTCTTTATTGTCTTCCATACCGACTTCCTTTGGCACTTCTTTGAATTTATTGTAATGACCATATACGGTTCACTGTTAACGTCTCTTACTCTCATTCAATCCTTTGTGGCAACTCTTACGAGCTTGTAATTGGAGTTTTCATGTTGCTGCCGTTGTTGCTTTATATATTTACTAATTATAATTTGAAGATCTTCTGTAGTGGACTGTATACTTAAGCAAAGAGGTTTGACTAAATATTGGGTTGGCAACTAAGTAATTGCCGTTTTTGTTGACGGATTCACTCTATACTTTCTTTTGTTTTGTTAACGTGGCCAGAGCATCTAACCTATATTTTTTTCTTACTGTATGGGCTTCTAGGTTAATTAGTAAAAAATTTTTTTGTTTAGTTCTTTAGTTTTGTTTTTATCCCAATTTAAAAATGAAAGAACAGGACGTGCACTTCCGACACATTTTATTGTATTACTTCCGAAAAGGCAAGAACGCATCGCAAGCACAAAAGAAGTTATGTGCCGTATATGGAGATGAAGCATTAAAAGAAAGGCAGTGTCGAAATTGGTTTGAAAGATTTCGTTCCGGTGATTTTTCACTGAAAAATTCACAACGATCTGGCCGCCCAGTCGAAGTGGATGAAACCCATATCAAGGCCATTATCGATTCAAATCGTCACAGCACAACACGAGATATTGCAGGGAAGCTCAATGTGTCGCATACATGCATTGAAAAAAAAATGAAAAACTCTTGGTTATGTCAAGAAACTTGATTTATGGATCCCTCACCAGCAGTTAAAGGAAATTCATTTGACGCAACGGATTAGCATCTGTGATTCGCCGCTACTGAAACGCAATGAGAATGATCCATTTCCGAGGAAGAACCTAGTTACTGGCGACGAAAAGTGGATAGTTTATAACAATGTTACTCGGAAGAGATCATGGGTGAAGCAAGATCAACCAGCCCAAACAGTATCAAAAGCAGCAGAGATTCACCAAAAAAAGATTATGCTGTCAGTCTGGTGGGATCACAAATGAATTTTGTATTTTGAACTCATGCCGCAGAACCAAACGATAAATTCAAATGTGTATGTTGAAGAACTCGAAAAACTGAAGGATGCAATTGAAGATAAGCGGCCCGCATTATCAAATCGGAAGGATGTTGTTTTCCATCATGATAACGCAAGGCCCCACACATCTTTGGTTACTCGGCCAAAATTATTGGAACTGGGTTGGGATGTTTTGTCACACCCACCATATAGCCCATGACCTTGCGCCTTCGGATTACCATTTGTTTCGTTCCATGCAAAACTCTTTACGTGGTAAAAGTGTTAACAACGCGGATGATGTCGGATCACATCAAATTCAGTTTTTTAATAGCAAAGACCAGACATTTTACGAACGGGGAATTTTTACTCTGCCAGAACGATGGAAAAAGGTCATCGACAAGAACGGCTAATATCTAATTTAATAAAGTTATAATTTTAAACAAAAATTCCGAATTTGCCTTCTTATTTGAGATCGGCAATGACTTAGTTGCCGACCTAGTAGATACAGGTCAAAGTCTAGAGGGAAATGTAATTTTATTTGGAGGAGAATTTTCTGTTGAATATTTTACCTTGATAAATTGTTTTGCTATTATTTGTTTCTGCAAATATTTCTCTTTTCTTATTTCTATTAACCCGAGTGGATATTTCAAGGTCATAATTACATGGCTTTGTGTCTAACTGACTTGTCTCTGCATGACATAAAAAAGACGTTAAGTTGTAATCATCAAGATACTTCTATCATTGATTAAGGTGATAATCACCCGCTTTTTAGCATTGAGAATATAAGCCCTATTTATCACCAACAATGTCAGAATTTCTTGAAGAGCATTAGACCATGCTAGTTAGATTGCATGCTCTGACTTTTAGAGACTTCTACTGAGGCTTTCAGGAATCAAGTAAGAGAGAGATGAGCATTTACATCGTTGTATGTAAATAAGAGGTAAATTAGTTGGGTCAATGCGGGACCCAAGTAATTGACGACCTACAATTAGGATTTCGCCGGGCTAGTTCTTTCACTTTATTTATGCGTTGGAATGTAAACTTCTTCAAATTGGCATGCTTGAAGGCAATTTTCTGAAGCCTTTATGAAGTAATTCTTCAAATTTGTAGTATTCATTTTATTGCAATTGTAGCAGGAGATGTACCGGTTCCCGAAGCTTCATGAGCGCATTGTGGATGTTGTTACCTCCTTGCTGCGTAGACGCCTTCAACCTACCAATGAGATGGTGACCAACCTTGTTGCTATCGAATTGTCCTACATTAATACTCGTCATCCAGATTTCTCCAATGATGTTTTAATGGTTCGTCAACAAGCGCCGCCTGGCCTTAATCACTTGGTAAGTTTCATGGGGAATAGAACTCAACAGAACTGTATTATTGGATGGTCTTCTTCCAACGAAAATTATTTCTATAACATCTGAGTAGCGTTGGTAGAAATCTCTTCCATCGTATTTCATTCCACTCATTGTTCACAGCTTATGAACATAATGCGCATCATATGATAAGTCGCCAATTTCATGTGATAGTCAAATTTATGAAATATTTTTTGAGCAACATTTATTTTCTTCGCTCTGATAACAAACTTCGTTTGTGTTTTCGCGTTTGCTTGAACTCTTTCCAATCTTCTCAGTTGGGGAATATTGATTACCTACCTGTATTCACTTCTTTTGTGATGCCTCGGTTTTCGCCTGTCGATTACGAGACTGGAGGTGCAGGCATTTGGTTTTCATTCTTTTTACGCTCATTTACCCCCATTTCATCATTCCGTGTTTTTCGTTAGTACTTTCTGCTCTAATTTTAATTGACTCGGTTCCGAATTGTTGCTGTTCAAGTAATTCTACTGTACTCTTGACTCTACATTCTGAATTTCTTAAAACTGTGGTTGTTCACTGAAACCTGTTACTCATATTTCCAAAAATTTGGCTATTAATTCAGCCCGGTATTGTCAATTTAAAGTCTATCCTCTCCCACCTTATTCAAGTAACTTTGTGACACATGTGGTTTTTTTCGGCATCAGTAATCTATTACATGAATCTATTGATTATTTCTTTCCGTTAAAAACACAATTTAACTGACAAGCGCAATTTTGAAACCTTTAGGAATGTGGGACGCTTGGGGTGGGTGGGGGGGGGGGGGGGGGGGGGGGGGAGGCCTTCCGTTATAACTTGATTATCCTCCAAAATACCCACGACTCCCAGTACTCGATAAAAATACTTAACAACTGTATTAAAGCAAAGTCTTATTAAAATAAAACTGCGAAGCAATCGCCCACTTTCAATATCACTTTTTTACTACGTGGCTTCTTCCTTTTCAAACATCTTGATAATCCAGCGCATATTGTTGACTTATTTCCATTCATATTTGCATTATATTGGTTTGCATTGCCTTGTAATGGGTTCTTTTCCAATTTTCAAGTTTACTCCGATCTGTTGAATTCGATTCAAACTGATTGGAAGCTCGCTAGCACTAGAGGATAGAGAGAAGAGAGAGTGAGTACATACACGAGACTACCAAATGTAAGATTTACACCCTTCCGAATAAGTAGGATTAGTCCTAATCCCCATTTCAACCAACTGAGTTTTTCCTAACTCCGAACCTTTACGTGAGATGAATTTTCTCCATTCATATTCTTAATTAAAAAAAATAGGTAATCAAACCTTAGTGCCTTAATGCACCGCTCTTTTGTCCTACTACTTGCACTCATAGTAGTATCTAAAATTTAGTTTGTCCTTTTCCATGTAGGATGTCAATCGCCATGTGAAGCAGCCAGTGTGCCTGCAACTTAGCACGGTGGATCAAGAATGGATTCAAGTTGACTATCTTGTACGCTCCCACCTTTCTACCCCTTTCATTTACTCTTTTATCGTGCCTTCTCTCCTCTCCACATTGCCGTTACACATTTTCTTTCTAACACGATTAATCAAGACTGTTTTGCTATGCTCATAATTTGTTTGGTTGATTCACCTTCAAATTCAGGCATTACTTTTCACCCCCCCCCCCCCCATTGATCTAGTAGTATCCTAATTAGGAAATTTAGCGTCTTGAATCAGTGTAAGGCAGGCAGTCTGGTAAAAAAAGCATTGGAAGAGTTTTCTCTCTGCTCATAATTGCTAGACAATTGATTTTTCAATTTCTAAATTAACTTGGCCTGGAAATGCAGCTCTCTTGAAGGTGGTTAATAGGCGAATTTCGAATTTGCTTCTATTCTGCTAAGATTGATTATGAGTCATACTTAACTGGGTACTTTTACATGCTTACTTTCAAATCAATTTTACATTTTTAAGTTATTCCATCTTGGTATAACCTAGATGACTTATTAATTTTCTTTATAAGTGGTATTGATGTACCCTCACTTTGACATTACCTTCGCTTTTTCCCGTTGAACCGAAATTTCATCATCAAGCACAAATTTTCTGGGAAGCACACTGCAGTTTATTGTTAAATAGACGTTTATGTAGCATACAGCGTTAGTTAATGTACTCTACCATAGCTGGAGTGTATCATACCGAAAGTAAAATTGAGCACTTGCGTGGTGTTATGCAATATTCTGTGTGTTTTCCCCCTTCAAATACAATTGCAAAGTTAATTAGCCTTTCTGCATTCTCACACGAGACCTCTTTTACCTTGGCTGCCCTGTATTATAAGTGGTATCAACTCGTTTAAATCTACGTGTCTTTCCCCCTCTTTTGACTTATTGATTAGTTTCTCGGCACTTTCACACATTGCCATAGTTGTATAAGGTGTTGAGAATTACGATTGACTGACAATTCCTTTTCCTTTGCGTCACTGAACTTATTGTGTCAAGCACATGCTCTCCAGAAGATATCTCGCACAAATTCTTACTCTTTGTTTATGTAGCTCGTTTCAAAACGATATATGCCTACTACTATATAAATTGTAAGTAATATTGGCATAACCTATTTCATGTTTATTTCGTTTAGTCGCTCAATGATCAGTCAATCAAACGGCCTCAGCAGCAGCAGGCTCTTAAACGTTCAACGGGAAATTTGAAGCCCAATAGTGCTGGCGAAGCTGTGCAAGAGGCTGGCCCTTCAGAAAATAACACTGCTATGGGCTTCTATGCTACTCCTGATATTGTGAGTTTATAGATTATAGTATATATTGGATTACTCTCTTATTGCCCTCATTACCATATTTTCGGACGGTTCTAGACGGTTGTAAGATCATTCCATCTCTCTTTAATCCTTTGAATAATCAAGTGAAAGTGAAGGTTTGTAAAGTAGAAAGATATGTCTACTAGGTACACTTATTTGGAAGCCCATATTGGAAACTTATTGAAAAATAGGGACCAACGTATGATTTCGCACTGGAAGGCTATTAATAAGCACATCTAAATCCTTGACTTAGAGTAGTGAGTCAATTTGGCTGATCTGTTAGTGTTTCGAGTTGCCTGCTCCTTATTGTATTGTCTGCAGTAGGCAAGTAGTGAGGGGGAGGGGGAGGGGTAATGGATATCTTTAAGAAATCTGGTGACTATTCCTGATTATACTTTGTGTTTCTGCCCATTGTAGCCAACACGCACATTTTGAATTTATTCATTTTTTTTTTGCTTTAGCAAACTCAGGTTCAACAGCATCAGCTAACCTCCGTGGAGAAACGTGAAGTTGATCTTATCAGTAAGTTTTAACAAATCAATTTCACTTTCTCTTGTACAATCTTGCTGTCATTCTTTCTCTCCAGTAAGAATCATACTAACTTGCTTTTGTCCCTATTTTTATTTATTTATTTATTTTGGTTCCACTCTGAAGTTTCCTTTACTGCTCTTGTTCGTTGAATCTGGAAGATGAGTTTTAAGATTTAAGGCATGCCTGCGATTTCCATGTCCCAGAATTTCACATGTATTTTTTAGCTGATAAAAAACACAATTTAAAAGCATATTCTGTTTAAATTTGTTGCTCTTTTTAACTATTAGCTGATAAACAACTGAACAAGCCTGGATCTCTCAATATTACAAATCTAAATGATGCGAGTCTTATGTTTACTTCTCTGGTTGAAATAATTGACAGAAAATTAGAAAAAAGTGGATTCTATATAACCATGACAACGCGTATTGTCACGATTCATTTTGAAAACGGATAGCGACTCTAATTTTGCTAATTTACTAAATTCAGTTATCAAGCTGCATTTGAATTACAATAGAAGGTTTTAAGTTTATCTCTCCTAGAGATTGACGAATGAGCACTTTCGTTTCAATACTATAGTATTATTATTACAATTTAATTTTTATTTCATTTATAAATTTGTCTCCTTAACCCTATTGTTCTGTGCATGCTCCTTATAGGCCATCTGATTCGCTCCTACTTCATGATTGTGTTGAAGAATATTTTGGATTCAGTACCCAAGGCGATTATGAACTTCCTTGTGAATTACGTGAAGGACAACCTTCAATCTGAATTGGTGAGCAACCTCTACAAGAATGAGCAGTACGATGCTCTGCTCAAGGAGAGTGAAAATGTTGCCCAAAGGCGCCGTGAAGCCTCCGAAATGCTCAATGTACGTCCATGTTACTTTTTTCTAACAGTTCTTGTCGTTAGTGGATACGTTGATAAATTTTATTTGCTACTTATTGAAAACTGACAAGTAGTATTTTTTGCCAATGTGTGCATATTGCCTCGGAGATGTAATTGGGCTTCACACTTACAACTTTGCTTCCATTTAAAGTGGAAGTTCACTTTCCCTTGCACCTATTTTCTGATTATTATTATTATTATTAACAGCATCTGAAACAGACGGATAAGTTGGCTAATCCGTTAATTTACCTGAAAATTTATAAGTGTCATCTTTAGTTGAAACTAAAAAGCCAATTTCAACCGTTACGTTTTCATTCCAAACTCTAATAAATGTGGTTTCTTACATTTACTCATCGGTTGGAAATTTATGTTCTTTAGAGAATATTTAATTTACGATTTGTGACACATAGAGGAATTTCGTTTATGTGTACTTAACACCCATAATTAGTGATTTATAAATCTGAATTTGGGGGACGCTTCTTTTTGGGTCAAAAATTTCTTCCATGCACTCTTATTATTATTATTCATGACGCTGCGAATCATGAATTAGCAGAATTGGAGACGTGTATAATAAGACAGAAAAGTTGGTTTTGTTCGCACTTAAGTTCTGGTATCAATGAGTCTTTCATATTTTCAGTAGGAGTATAGTGTTCTCTAAGGTGTCTACATTTTAAGCATTGACTCGAAGATTAGTGGATGATATCATTTACCGTTCATGCCAAAAGCTGTACGCATCCTTTGCTTCCAACTGATCCAAGAGACTGTGGATGTGCTGTATGGCCGTTCGGGCGATAACACGTGTGCAAGCGAACTAATTTCTAGGCATAAGAAAATAAACATGTGGTTAACACCCTAGCTCATTAAACCGTTGTGAATGTACCAAATTTTTCCACGCCTTTGCTTAAAATAGTTTCTCCTCTACTGTAATTATGTGTCCAATTAGTATACTGTGCAATATGCAATTAGATTTTTCAGTAATTCAAAGCGTCTAAATAAATCATTCGGACTAATTTCACGCGGCTTTTTGAAAGCAACGTATGTTGTAAATGCATATGCACTTAGAGGATAGTTAGAGATAGTCTTGGGCTTTCTACCAATATATGTTTTTCACGGCAAATTAATCTTATAATTACTAACTTATCTTCAAGAGAGTTCTCAACCCTTTAACGCCCTGCAAAACAGTACGGTCCTCTTTCAAAATAAGCTCCATTGGTACTAGACTCGTAACAAAAGACGCTATTGCCGTTTGAAACATGTTCAATACGCGTCCATGTAGCCTTCGCCTGATACACCACCAAAACTCTTCACATAGGTGGCGTCAGTCTGCTGTGAGACATGCGCGAGTGAGGTAGGCTGCATTTTTAATAGAAATAATTAGGGGGTTAAAGGATTAAATTAATTTTAGCACTTATCGTTAATCCATTGTAGGTTTAGTTTTATCGTTAACCTCTTTCAAACTCCTAGACGTGGGCCTGTTTTTCTTTTTTTGCGTCTAATTTTCTAAATCTTAAATCGAAGTGGAGGTCTTCCTATGCTTGATAGTGCATTACAAAACAGACATTAAAATACAGTTGCTAATTGACTTAGTTTGGACTATTCAGTTTACCGTCTTTCGTGTTTATAACTTGTAGGGTCTGCAACGAGCCAGTCAGATCATCAGCGAAGTTCGTGAAGCGCCAATGTGGTAATGTTAACATAGGAAGGAGGAGAGATCAATGTTAAAAAATCGATAATAAACTCTGTACCATATTCCTCTCTTTCCTCCGTCTCCTTTCTCTCAAGTTTCTCATTTCTTCCCAACTTCCGACTGTTGCCTTCTATTGATTGATTATGATCAGAAAATTACAAATTCCTCAGTCCAGGTTGGATTGACTTACCTGGACTTTGATAACTACCCCCTTCCCCCCCCCCCACTTCTCTTTTTTCTTTCCTCCTCCCGAGTACAAATTTTCTCCGATTGTGTCCTCTTACTATTGTTTATAGTCGCCGAATAAAAGTAGCTTTTACAGAATTCTATGCAATCAAATTGCTTAGCGAATTGAAATTTATGTTAAATGGTTTTAGTTTATCGATTTTCATTGGCTGAAATTCTCAAAAGTTAATACTGTATTTGGTGGCGATTATTTTGATTAATTTATAAAGATTACTTAATGCTTGTTAGTAGCATGGATTGATAAGCTAGCCTGAACTTTATCTGCACTTTCCAGCACTGTTAAAAACCACGTGCTACTTCCATTGATTAATTGGATAGCTAGTCTGATAGCTACGCCCGGAACCGTTATCTGTTTCCCCATTTAACGTTTCTCCAGTGTTCTATAAAGTTTTCAATAACTCTTTAATAAATTATCTCTTGATATTTTATATCAATAGCATCCTTTGTACATTTCCCATGTCGATGAAGCGACGGATTTGGTTTTCTAGCTTGTAATTTTTGAAATATATGTAGAGAGATAGAAGGGAGTGGAAAGGAAATGCTCTGACTGCAAAATTGAACACAGGCGCCTTTTCTTAACCACGTGACACAAATGTGTTAGTATTTTGGTTGGTATATGCATTTAGAATTGTTCAAGTTTACTAAATTACATGGCATTGCAAATTCCGTAGATGTAGATAGACAGAAGGTGCATTTATCTGCTCACTGCTTAATAAAATACTGTGCACCTTTGACTCCGGATTTCTAATTTGGAATAATCCTGTCTTAATTAAATTTTAACTATATCTTCTCGTTCATTTTATCAAATTACCTAGCGAATGAAAGGTTTTGTGAGAACAACGCCATGGTCTCAAAGAATCTTATTCTATTGGATTTTTGTGTACACTTTTTGCATGACGAGAAGCTCACATTGCCTAGACAAAAATTTCTTGAACTTACCCCCCTGGATGGTCTGTCTTGTTACTTTGAATTGTATGCTTCTTTTTGCGGTTGAAGAGGCAATATGGTCATGCATGATATTTAGTGGCTTACATTCGTAACATAGCAGAGATGTGATAGGTGGATTTTTAAGTAAGCAAAGCTATGCCAACCGTATTTGCTTAACAAACTATATTATATAAATTTATTAATTTATTTATTGAATTATAATTTGATAGTTAACGTAACTCTAGTTCTAATCTAATAGATAAGGACTTATCCAATCCGAAAATTAGTTCTAGTTACCTTGGCAAAAGTGTAATGGTGTGATATCATCACCTAAACCTATTAGAATTATCTTTCAGCACTTATTTAGTGAAAAATGTTCATATTCCGGATTCCATTTGGCCATTATTATATTTAATTTAATTTGCATGTGGCTATTACCTGATTTAATCAATGCAGTTTTTTACCCTGACCGTACTGCATCGAACAGAATGAGTCCATAGCTTTTGCTTACAATTTTTGATAATAGCAATATTCAGATAAGTCTAGAAAGATAGGCAAATGTACTTTGACCCTGTATTCATAGTGTAGCGGATTGCTACTTTATTCTCGAACATGTAGCGGATTGCTACCTTCGTAAAGCCTTGGTTAAAGACTTGTAGCGGATTGCTACCTTAGTAAAGCCAGACCGGTTGAGAATTGTAACGGATTGCTACCTTAGTAAAGCCTGACCGGATTGCATTGTAGCGGATTGCTACGCTAGTAAAGCCTGACCGAAATCTCTATGGCAGATTCTCCAACACCTAGCTAGACTCCCAGAACAGCTAAGCTATAGCTCCACGGATTGCTACGCTAGTAAAGCCTGACTGACTCAGAAATACTATGGCAGATTCTCCAACATCTAACTGACTCCCAGAACCAGCTAAGCTATAGCCCAGCTATGAAAGACTCCCAGAACCAGCTAAGCTATAGCCCAGCTATGAAAGGATCTCCCAGAACCAGCTAAGCTATAGCCCAGCTATAAAGAAATCAAGTCTCTATGGCAGATTCTCCAACATCTAGCTAGACTCCCGAGAAATCTCTGGCAGATTCTCCTACATCTAGCTAGACTCCCGAACTAGCTAAGCTATAGCCCAGCTATAAAGAAAACAGACGTATAATTCAGCTAAGCTATAGCCCAGCTATAAAGGAAACAGACGTGTTGCTATAGCCCAGCTATAAAGGAAACAGACGTGTAGCACGGGGCGCCCAGCTATAAAGGAAACAGACGTGTAGCACGGAGTACGCAAAGGAAACAGACGTGTAGCACGGAGCACGCCCCAGCTATAAAGGAAACAGACGTGTAGCACGGAGCACGTCTATTCAATGAGTATATTGAGGAAAAAGTGTGTACACGCATGGAGCTACTCATGATCAGGATGGGGGATTAGGTTAAACAGAGGTTAATGATTGGTTACTGTTTGTACGGTCGCTGAACACAGAGTTGTACGGCCGCACCTCCCAATCCTGGTGAGCAGACATGCAGGCATACGATGAAGCGCACAGCGATAACGTGTCCCACAGGACTCTTTTTACCTCGATGTTGCCCTCTGCATCGTTTGCATCCCTCTCACCCTCTTATCGTTTGTTAAACATACTGCTATTCAATGCCAGTTTCTTCCTCCCGCCCCTTTAAAAGTTGTAATTTTTGTATTAATACGGTCAAAAACACATAATAATAATAATAATAACAATGGAAACAATAACTTTGTTCCTGCCCGCAAATTGTCATTCATGGGGTGTGCGATTAACATACCCCCACGTGGTGCTCCCTGAGTAATTTATGCACAAACGACAAAGAAGTCTATAAACTGGCAGTTGACTTCGAACTACCACGACCCCACTGTATGTCATATTCAACTACTTCCATGGTGCTCACCTTACCTTTTTCTGTATTTTGTATCTGCCTCTTTTACATCTGTAAATCTTTCTTCTTTTTCACTCCCCTTCCCTCTCGACTTTTTGTGACTTGGATGTTCCTCTCCCCTGTGAAGCCCAAAGTCGAATTAAGGGCTAATGGTAAACATCATTTATTTATTTATATCAAATGGCAGGCGTCTTGATGGTTATCATTAGCCTTTTAGTTGACTTCAGGCTTCACAGAGGGAAAGAAACATCAAATTGAAAAAGTCGACAGGGGGGGACAGAAGAGTGTTTCAAAGATGTAAAAG